CCGGCGGGGGGGATCTATTTTGGTCCCTATCCCTTTCTTCCGCCCCACCATGCCCACATCCCCCCCATGGGGTTGGGCTGCGTCCTCATCTTTGTTGATGTCCACGTCCATCTCTCACTTGCTCCCGACAGGTCCAATCCAATCCTTCAAAATATCCACGTCTTCCGATAAGCTTCCTTAGTTGGCAGATAGTCCCTTGAGCTTTCTTATTCGTACTTGATGTTGGACGGGAGCACTCCCTACTATCAGTTGTAGCGAAAGATCAGTACCTTGCCACAAGTGGCATCTTCCTTCGTTCTGTGTAAAGTCAGAGTGTGTAGCCTGACCAGCACGTGGCGCGGTGGACGTCAAAGCTTCCTCCTCACGTGACGTGCAAACCCTATCGTCAACTTCGATAGCCGACGCTAGGGCGGTCAGACCGGCCAAAGCCGGTGGCGGCAGAACCGAGCGCTAATTTTGAGCCGCGAATCGACGCCCCCCCCCCAAACGAGTACTATTCGAGCCCCTAAGTATGAACTAACGTCAACTTCGATAGCCGACGTTAGGGCGGTCAGACCGGCCAAAGCCGGTGGCGGCAGAACCGAGCGCAGTACTATTCGAGCCCCTAAGTATGAACTAAGCGAAGGTGAAAAACTCAAAAAAGAATCGTTCCAATTTTAACGGATGTCCCGAAGGACTTTATGCGTGTCGTCATTGAGCCGGGGATATGTTTTTGGCCCTCGCTCCACTACTCTCGAAATGTGCAAATAGAGAGTGAATCTTCCGCTAGAACATGGAACCATACACCGCCATGATTTTTGTCTTTTGTGCATGTCGCGGGTAGTGGAGCGACGCCCTTTGTTCCAAATTTCCTTCGGGACATTCGCTAAAAGTGGAACGATACAGAGAAGATTAGCATGGCCCTGCGCAAGGACGACACGCAAATCGAGAAATGGTCCAAACTTAGAAAGAAAGAAGAAAAAAAAAAAAAAAAGTTTTGTTCCGAACTTAGCTGATGCCGCTAGGGACAGTCCGGCAGAAACGGACGAGTATATTACTGATGTTCAGCCGCGGCAGTTATGTGCGAGTGGTGCGGCCACCGGCACTGCACCTCACCAAAACGCGACTTTGGTGAGCCGTACGGCGTGGCTGGAGCACAAACGACAAAAATATGCTGCCCATGTGACTCAACCGCACATCCATCAACGGTTGAGACGCAGACATATAAATTCGGGTCCGAACGAATCAGATGAGTAAAACAACTATGGATTTACCTGTTGCAACAAAGTTGATTTCTTGAAAAAGAAAAAGAAAAAGAAAAGTTTAACGTGAAAAAAAAAAAAAACAGAAGAAGAGGGCGGAGCAGCAAAGAGCTCAAATGACAGAAAGGAAAGAAGCTTGTGCGACACAGTGTGAGAGAGGGAGAGAGAGACAGACAGAGAGAGATAGAGAGGGGAGGGGGCGAAGGGGGGAGAGAGAGACTCAAAAGACAAGAAAGAAGGAAGCGTGCGCCATTCACACACACACACACACACAGAGAGAGAGA